ACCCCCCCCCCCCCATGAGAAGCATCTGCTCCCAAACTGTCTGCCTCCACCTCCAAGAAGATTTAGCAACTTTTAATAGGTATCAGGAAGTTGGGGCAATTTGCTCTCTGGCACCCATGGCAGAACCTCTTTCTAATCCCCCCCTCCCCGCTCGGTCAGCATACTCACAGCTCCGGGCGCAAAATCCCTCCCGAGCTTATCCAGGCGCTGCTTGGCGCTTTCTGCTCGTTCCCCCACCAGGGTGATGGAGACGCTGCTGTAGGTGCCTGCCAGGATCATGTTGCCGGTGGCCACGTAGACTTTATAAACAGCCATTGGGAAAGATGGGAGAGCGAGCTCCGAGCCCAGCCAGGGAGGAAAGGTGTGTGCCGAGCCGCATCCTGGACGGGCTGGGACACCCTCCCCTGCTCCTCCCCAAGAGGGCTTGTGCACCACACCCGCGACCCATCACTGAGTCTCTTCTCCTGCGCCTTGGGGAGAACCGCGGGTGTGAAATGGGATCAGCCTCTGGCTTGGAGTTGCACCAGTCTGCGCTCGCTGCTTTTGCTCCAAAAAGAAGACCCACACGCTCTTAGTGCAAAACCACCTCTGCTATTATTTGCCAGTCTTTATTGTTTCCAAAGAGGAGAAGGGAGAAATCATTGCTTCGGCGAGCAATTGGTGCATGGCGCATCCCCACCCTCTCTGCTCTCTCATATCCAGTTATGCATCAGGTGTTGTGGCGCCAAACGCCTTGCTTGGCTGACCACCAGTCACACCGAAAATGCTGGCCTTCTTCCAGAGAGTCAAGGCATGACCTTTTTCCTTCGCCTGAATGGGTTGGTGACTCTATCAGAAAAGAACTAAACCTTGGTCTCCATTCTTCCCCACTGCGCTCCAAGGCCTCAGTTTGGAGACCTTGTTCTCTTCCTTCTTTCCTTTGGCAAACCATGAAGACGAGCAGGTTTTGCCCTGAAAGAAGGGGTGGACAGAGGGCAGGGGAACACCAGCTGTGCAATTCAACACCGCTGGGCCACCCTCATGGTATCCTCCCTTTCAAGCAACCCCCCCGTGGCCCAGGCAGGGCACTCCGTCTGGTGAGTGAAGATTGCTTTGGGACGCATGGCTTTCCAAGGAGTTACAAGGGGAGACAGATGTACTTGGAGAACAATTAGGTTTCCTTCTGAAAAGGTTTTTTTGCAGCTCAAGAATCAGAGTTTGGGGCCCAGAGCCCTGCTTTCCAGAGCTTCAGCTTGGTTTTTCTGAGGATGAGGCCTCCCCCAAGCCCTGCCTGTGGGTTCCCCCAGCAATCTGGACTCTTGAATTGACCCACTCGCAACGCCCCCCCAACCCAACGGGCATGGGTTCCCCAAGAGACAGAAACGCAGCATCCGATGCGCAGGGAGATAAGAGTGGTGGCGCCACCTGGAGGCCACAGTGGGTACAACCCAAGGCTGTGCTTCCTCCAGGTGCCTCCATCCCATCAGCAAACATTTGCAGGAATGTGGGGCATTTAAAAATTTTTAGTGTTAAACATTCATTTTTTCCCCTCAGAGGATTTTAATCATCTGGTTCATAGTTTGCAGCTTTTAAAAAAATTATTCTCGTTCTCCCCTGAACTCCAAATCTATGGTGCAGATTTTGGTTCCAAGGAGAAGATGCTGGCAAGTCCTCCTGGATTCCTGGTGATTTCATGGACGCATCCATGTTTTCCTGGCAATAGTACAATTGTTTGTCACTGCCTTCCTCTGGGGTATCTTTCATCCTCCCAGGCTTGCCCTGAGATTGCCCCCCATCCAAGCCCTAACCAGTTCTGACCCTACTTGGTTGGCAAGACTAGCAGGGTTGGCCAGGTTCTGCCTCCTGCTGTGTCAGGTTCAGCCCAAGAATCACACAAGAGAGTCTGGAAACCAGCTCAGCTTCTTTATTAGCTTGCACCTAAGAGACAGAATCTCACCAGACTAACTCTAATTCCCCAACGAGAGCAGCTATGACCATCAAGCCCTTATGGAGGGGCCAGTCTCTTCCTCTTGACTTTCACACAGTCCAGTTGGGGGCTGAGGAGATGCTTGGAATGTCACTCCCCGTCCCTGCAACCTTGAAGCTCCCTTCCAGAATCCTCCTCGCTTGTGCCTTCCATCACGTGCTGGGAGCAATGAACATTTATTAGGATTCCTGAATGCCTAATTCAGCCTTTCCCAAACTCCCAGAATTTCTGGGCAGCCTATAATCATGCTGTCTTGGGAAAACCGTCTCAACCACTCGGGAGAGACCACTAGGTTGGGGAAGAGAGGTTAGAAATTTGATGTATTACCAGATGCTTCATCTTTTGATTTCCTGTGCAGAATAAAGTCATCACTCTGCATCCTCTTTCTACTTTCAACATCAGACCAGTGTTTCTCAACCTTGGCAACTTTAAGATACGTGGGCTTCAACTCCCAGAATTCCCCAGCCAGTCCACCTATCTTAAAGTTGCTAAAGTTGAGCAACACTGGCATAGACTGAACAACATGGACAGCCGGTTCCCCTCCATTTAGGCCTCGGTGGATGACACTGGTCACTTTCAGAGGACAATGGTCTTCCAGGTCATTTGCACCAGGATAGTGGTTCCCAGTTACTCCTTGGCAGAATCAAGATGCTGGCCCTCAAGACAGTCCCTCAGAGAGCTCAACTTTCAGACCTGTTTAGCTTTGACAAATGATAGAATGGAAGGGGTCCAAGGAGGTCATGTTGACCAACCCCAGATGTATGACAGCTGCTAGGAACAGCTGGTGGAGTTAAGAAGTGGGTGCAGATCCAATCTGCCAAATTCTAAATATATTATTTCCTCTCATCAGTTTATTTTCCTATGGCACTTTTGAATAAGCAATGCTGTTGAGTTTTAACTGCCACATATAAGGAGAAAAGGATAGTTTTAGATCTAAAACGTATTTTTATTTTAAAAATATATATGTACTTTTCCATTTATTAAAAGTATAGTCGTTTCCATACACATCAGAAAAGGAGAACAACAAAAACGCCCTAAAATTTAAGAACAAGTAACCCTTAATTACAAATGTGCCTTTGATGTAAATTATTACTTGTAACTCCTCTGTGAAATCCACATTCAAGACGCTATATATTTACTTCATTTTCAAAATGTTGTGCAAAATGGGCACTAAATTATTTGAAGTCATGTGGTATTTTGCAACATGACTTTAAACAATTTAATGAGCTTAAAAAACACTCCAGGCAGTTACTGACAGAGAATCCCGGCAAAACCAATGTCCCTCAGTTCACAGACCACAATTACACAAATGATTTGATATTTTTCTCGTTTAGACACAATTTGAAGCTTGATGCTGAGGCTAATAAAAGCTCCATCCTTCTTAATTATGTGACTTAGAGTTTGAAGTTGGACTAACTTCAAGTAGATGATGTCCTCCTAGTTGCTGATTCCCATTGTCTGTGGCCAGCTTCTTCAACTACAGTATGCTGATTCTACCATTTATCTACCCCTTTCAACTTCGACCCCTTGGGAAGAATTGCTTCCAGCCAGGAGGGTGTCAAAAAAGTCAAGATGGCAGCCATCACCATGCAGTCAACCCCATGCCTCTTTGTTATGCAGAGATTTGACTGCACGGTTGCACCTGCCATCTTGACTTTCTTGACACCCCGGGCAGATAGCCCTGTTCCCAGGCCAACCCAACCCCTGTGGGAGACCAGCTACCTCTTCCCCAACAGGCCCACTCTCTTTGGGACCCGCCAGTGTGTAAAATATTTGCAGAACAGAAGAATCAAGAACAGACCCAACGTTGTTTGTTGTTCTTCAGTCGTTAAGTCGTGTCCGACTCTTCGTGACCCCAGGAACCACATCGCGCCAGGCCTTCCTGTCCTTCACTGCCTCCCTGTGTTTGCTCAGTTTCATGCTCATTGCTTCCGTGATGCTATCTAACCATCTCAAGACCCAGCGTAAGCATCTTCAATTCTTAGGCCACCGAATCCACCAGGCTTTTGATAAGGATGAGGGGGCAAGCCTCAGCAAATGTACTTGTCCTACAAAAAAGTTGGTTTTTAGTTCTGCAGAATTTCAGCCCAAAGACAGAGGACGGAGCACCCCAAACGTGAGGCGCCTGCAGTTCTAGACGGAATCCTGCTGGATTGGTGAATCAGGATGGGCTGAAATCGCCCACCCGGGGCTGCCTGGTTCATCACCTCTGCCCCAAGGCCTAGATGGAGACGCTGTTCTCGATGTGGGGCGGGTCGAGGTAGTTGTAGGGAAGAGGCAGTGACTGGTTCCGCTGGTTAATCTCCTCTGAAATGTTGGCCAGGCAATTCTGAAAGACCCCTATCAGCCGGTTGGGTTCCTCTTCGATGAAATGTTTGTCTGGGAAGAACCCTAAAGGTCTCTGGAAGAGATCCACGGGAGAAGCGTTATAGCACGAAAACACACCGGGGTCCCCAAGCCCCAGCTGGCTTTGCATTCTACATTCATGGCTCATTGGTAAAGGCTCAAACCCCAAATTTGTATGGTGGCATCAGGACACCCCCAATGTTATTTTGAGGTCATCCGGGTCATCCTTCACCTTGATCGGTTGACCAGGAACCCGGTGCCTTTCAACTCCGAAATGTTTCCCCTTCCTTTTTTTTTTTTTTATAATAACTTCATTAATTTTGTTCAAAAAGGAGCAGTAGAAATGAACCAGAACCAATATTAAGAGAAAGAATAAGAAGAAAGAAAAGAAAACTGAAAAAAGAGAAAATAGCAGGGATCAAAAGTGCAGAAGCAAGCAAGCAAGAAAAAAGAATTCACTTCTGACCCTCCTTGCAACAGATAAGTAACAATATACATCAAACTCGTACTCTAAATTTAAAACATAACTTCCATTATTTCTCTGAACGCATGTTATTTCTAATCAGCAAATTCATACAACGTGATTTCATTTCTTTCTATTCCCCGCAAAACGTCCAAAATAGGTTTCCAGCGAGTATTAAAATTATGCAAGTCTTATCTCGAACCAAAGCCGTCAATTTCACCATCTCGGCATCTTCACCATCCATTCCTCCACTGTAGGGAATCTCTTAGCCAGTGTTTCTCAACCTTGGCCACTTGAAGACGGGTGGACTTCAACTCCCAGAATTCCCCAGCCAGCATGCT